TTTGACATTCATCCTGTGGGAAGAGGTGTGGGGCGAGCTGAGGTGGGATGGCACCACTGCACTGCTGGTCCCAGATGGGGCTGGCTCCTGCAGCAGCCCGGGAAGCAGTCAGCCCAGTGCTGTTGTCCCCATTCAGGTGGATGCCGTCTGTCCCCAGACGAGCTGGAGAGCTGAGTGAGGATTTTGCGCTCCGTGTTCAGGAGGTAGGAGGGTAACGTGGGAGGGGATGTGTAGGACAAGTTTGGGATGGCCACAGAGGAGAGCGGGGCGCAAGCAGGGCTGCGAAGGCCGTTCCTGGCTGGGCATATTCGTGTTATGGGAACTCTGGCCTGTATTTATTGCCCCTTGTAATTCCGTTTTTCCATGGCCTGTTTGCCGCAGACGTTTTAATCCTCTCTGCCACTTATCAAGGCTCTCCCCATCCAGCTCAAATCTATGTGCTAAAATGTCCCCTTTCACAATATCACAAGTCAAATAAACAGTGATTGTTTCTCCGGCTTCCCATTACTGCTGGGGACTTCAGAGGTCCTGTACCAAAGATGTGGTCTCTGTGTCAGCCTGTTGTACACTGCACGCTCCTGGTCCTTTGTGTGCAACACTGAAATGCATCACTGAGGCCTTGGAGAAATCAGCTCCCAGGCCTCTTGCCCTCAGTGTGGCTCCAAGCAGGCTCTGTACATCTGATGCGTTCCCTGCAAGATGGGAATGCCTGGGTCATGCGTGCTGTGCGTCCTCTCTGTGTTTCTGCAGCTCTTGGCCATGGAGCTGGGTGTGGTATCCACACGGCTCACTGCAGCAGATAAAGCTGAGCACATGAAGAGGCTGAGACATTCGTCCCATCTTCCCCTTGCCCCAGGTAGGCATCCCAAGTGTGGGTTAGGCTCTGCCTTTGGGGACCCTTCAGTCTGCTCTTGGTTTCTCATGTGTAGAAGAAGAGAAGATGTGAGACATCCTGCTAGGGACAAGGGGTGCCTGCATGCTCTGTGCTGCAGATGTAGCTTGCTGGAAGGGAGAGGATCTCCACTCCTCAGCACAGACATGGTGGTGGTGTGCAGGAGGTCCTGATTTCTTAATGTTCCCATTTGGACATGAGAAATGGGGCTGCTGCAATGTGTTAAGGCCGTGTGCCTTTAGGCCACCCTCCTGTACCCCGTTTCTTTTCCTGCAGCCTCAAGCCAGCCCCTGGCAGCCAGGCTCAGGATGCCTTCCAGCCTGTCTGGTATTGGATCCTTTGCTCCTGAGGATGCACGGATCACAACGATGGCTCAGCAGGTCAAGGAGGTTCTGCCTCACGTGCCTCTGGAGGTCATCAGGACAGACCTGGGTAAGCTTAGACCCAGGTATTAGCAGGGACACAGGATCGCCCTCTGTGCCATGTGACGGTGACACCTGGGAGCAAAAGCCCCTCATCCTTGTTGCACTGTGAAGCACAACAGTAGAAAGAAAATGAGCTTCCTAGCTGTGGCAGCTCCTTCTCTTAACACATCTCCTGTGTTCCCACAGCCCAGTCAAACTGTGTGGATACCACTATTGCCAACTTGCTGGAGGGGAGAGTGCCCTTCTTCCCTGAAAGTGAGGCTAGTGCTGACCTGCCTGCTCCATCTACCTCCTGGGCTGCATCAGCTTCTGGCATCCAGGGCTCCGTGGCTTTGCCTTCTTCCAAGGTACTTTGAGGGTTGTAATGTCTCCCCTGCACTGATGGCTCGCAGACAGAGCGTGATGGCCTGTGTTTGGGAGCAGCCACGTCAGGGGAACCGAGCGTTTTAAACTGGAGGTTAAATCGGCATGCTGGGTGCTTACAGGGCCAATCAGGAGGTTTCCTGGCTTTGTTTCCAGTTGACTTTTGTGCTTTCTGTTCCAGCCAGCTACAAAGCAGTTTGCAAAGTCCCCCGTGGAACGGCACCTGTCCCTGCAGGAGAGGAAGCGCGCGCTGTACGACTACGCCAGGAGGTGAGTGCAGCCCCAGCCCCATCCCTGCACCGTCCGCCCCATGCTTTGCCCACGCTTTTCTGCTTCCACCTCTGCCAGGCGTGCAGCCTGTTGTCATCTTGGAAATCTCTGTTTGCCTTCAGCTGCCGCCGGGTTTCTGTGTGTGAGCACTGAGTGGGATAGAAGCTGTTTGCCAGAACGGCGATCTCTGAGGGATGGAGCTTAGCAAAAAAGTGGTTTTGTTCTCTGGTGTAACAGATTTGACTGATAGGAGTCACTGTGAGACTGTGGATGTCTTTGAAATAAGCACTGATGCTGTGGAACACTCATGTTAGAAGAGAGACTTCGCTGTTTGGCAAAGGGATGCTGCCATTAATCTTCCTCAGTGAAAGAGGAGAATGCTGACAGGGGACAGGGAGGGGGTTTGAGCTCTGTGTGCAGTTTAGATGGTGCAGATAGTGGAGTGAGTGTCCACTTCTGGCACGCGGTGCTTTTTTCTTTTCTTTTTCTTTTTTTTTAGAAAAGATGCAGAAAATTCAGGATGAATTTGGAAAGGAGCCGTAAAATTATAGGAGAGGAAGTGAAGTCTGTTAAACTGACAGTAACTGAGGTGGCTCGCTGTATGTCATTATTTTTCTGGGTGCAGGAATCAGGCTTTTCAATCTGTCAAAGAAATGCAGAATAGTAACTGATGGTCAGAAGTTGTGAGCTTATTTCTGTAGAGGAAATCTATTCAATCAGTGGAACAAGCTCCCAAAGGAGCTGATGTTTTCGTGGTGCCTGCGTGTCTGGAGGTGAGCCTGGCTGACACCTCAGAAGATGGCAGAGATCACAGAGGCTTTGGTTCAGTCCAAAGTGGCACAGAACTGCTACAGAGTGGAGTCCCCACCTTGTGCAGGAGTCTTACAGTGAGCAGAAGCCGTCTGGTGCCAAGCTCAGCTGCAGCCTGAGCCCCTGGGCCTGGCACTGGGCACCAAGGAGAAGAGCCTGACTCTGTCCTCCTTGTGCCGCCTGTCAGGTATTTATTGACGTTGATGCAGCACTTCCAGTACTTGAAGGGAGCACAGGGGGAAGGACTGCTTACATGGGTTGTCAATGATAGGATAAGGAGGAATGGTCTTAAACTGAGACAGGGGAGTTCAGGTTGGATATCAGGAGGAAGTTTTTCACACACAGGGTGGTGAGGCACTGTTACAGGTTGCCCAAGGAGGCTGCGGATGCCCCAGGATTCAAGGCCAGGCTGGATGTGGCTCTGGGCAGCCTGGGCTGCTGGTTGACCTGCACACAGCAGGGGTTGGAGCTGGATGAGCGCTGTGCTCCTGTGCAACCCAGGCCATTCTGTGATTCTGTGATACTGTGATGAGCTTTCCCTTCAGCCTTCCCTTCCCCAGGGTGAACAGCCCCTGCTTTCTCAGCCTTTCCTTATGGGAAGTAAGCTCCAGTCCTTTCACTGCCTTTGTGGCCCTGACTCTGTCACTGTTTCTTGCTTTGGGGAGCCCAGAACTGAACCCAGCATCCCTGATGGCCTTTCTGGTGCTGAATAAATCACCTCCCTTCACCTGCTGGCCGTGCTTTGCATTATGCAGGTCTGTTTTTTGCTAAGCTGCTGTGCCTCCAGCCCAGTGCTGCGGCTGCTCCTTCCCACATGCAGGGCTCTGCACTTCTTGCTGAGGTTCCAGCCTGTCAGGCCGGGTCTCTGTGGCAGTGTGACACTGCTGTACCTGCTGCTCACCCCAGCTTTGTGTCACCTGCAGACTTCCTGAGGATGCAGTCAGTGCCACTGTCCACATTGTTAGCACAGATGGCAGACAGGGCTGGACCCCTTGTTGACCTTGGGCTTCTCCTCTCACCCCTGGCTGCCACTTCTGGGCCCAGCCAACCAGGTGCCGTTTGATCCCTCACTGCCCATCCAGCCCCCATTCCAGCAGTGTCAGAGCCAGGCCAGTTGTTTCTCTGCGCTGTCAGGGCTGTGGGTGATGTTTCCCTTGGTGATCCACGCTAACTGCTCCTGATCTCTTTTCCCCCGTGTGTTTGGAAGTGGCTTGCAGGACGGGGGGGGCGCAGATGGAGGTGAGGCTGACTGCCCTGCTTCCTTCAGCCCCTGCTTGCCCTAACTGAACACAGCAGGGACGTTCGCTTCCTTTGGGCTCCTCTCCCAGCCCGAGATCACATTGCAGCCTCACCCACATCGTGCAGTTCCCTCCCGTCGGGGCCATTGCCCGACCCGATCCCCGAGTCCATCTCAGCTCCAACCTTTCACCCTCAGGGATGTGGGATTCCTGCAGGCCCATCTCGCTGCCAGAACCTGAAGCTACAAAGCTCCCACACCCACATTTTCCCCCATCTTCCTTTTGCCTCCACTGCTCCGATGCCTTTTGCTGCGGGCAGAGATGCTGAGCCCCGCGCTGGGATCTGTCCTGCAGAGGGAAGGGCTGCAGGGGCTGTGAGGCCCTTCCTGGCCTTTCCCACCCCCCCCGTGCCGCTCTCGGCCCTCCGCTCTGTTTCCTGGGCTCCGCCGCCTCGCAGTGCGGCACTGGAGGGGCGCGGGGCTCGCGCTGGTTGCAGCCGAACCCGAGGAGTTTCTTTACGCTCGGCAGGGCGCCAGCGTTGGGGCTGCCGAACGCAGACGGGGCCGGGGGGGGCTGCGCTTTCCCGGCTCCGTTCGTTCGGTGCTCCTGGCGCTGCGGCTCCGCGGCTGTCCCCGCCGGGGGTCCCGCTGCGGCCGCGCCGTGCCGTGCGGTACCGTCTGCCCGTCTCTCCGCAGGAGGTTCGCCGAGAAGCACGGCGCGGCGCGGGCCGGGGGCAGCCCCTGAGCGACCGGAGCGGAGCGGCAACGGCGGCGTCGCGGGGCTGGGGCGGCGCGGCCGGGAGCGGCGGAGCGGCAATAAACGGCGCTGGAAGCAAACGGCGGTGTCCGGGGGGGCGGGGCGGGGCCGCGCTGCTCCGTGCGGCTCTGCACGCGCCGCGGCCGCCGCCCGCCCGCTGCCCGCACGTAGGCGCCGCTTAAAGGGGCGACGCGAGCGCGGAGCGCCGCCCGCGTCTGCCGAGGGGCGGGAGCGGCGGGCGTCGGCGTGCGGGCCCGACGGGAGGGGCCGGTGCCCTTTTAAGACGCGGGCCGCCGGTGCCGGCGGTTTTATTTACATGGGGGCTCGCGGCTGTCACGTGACAGAAGGAGCCGCGGCACCGGGCGGGGGCTGAGAACGGCGGGAAGCGCGGGGCCATGGCGGGCGGCGGCGACGACGGTGTGCGGGGCGGGGGAGGAGGGAGGCGGTGGGGGCTCGGGGTGCGGCGGGGGCCGGGCGGGCCGGGGGGCACCGGGAGCCACGGGGGACAGAGGGGCCGGCCCGCGGTCTCCGGTAGCGCTCCCGGGCGGGGGGGTGCGCCGCGTCCCCGGGCGGTGCGGGGCTGACGGCCGCCCGCAGGCTCCTGGGTGGAGCTGCGTTGCGACCCCGCGCCCTTCTCGTGCCACGCCGACGTGGAGCGGATGCTGCTGGACGCGCAGCTGGAGCCGGACGGCGCCGATGGGTGGTGAGTCCCGGAGCGTCTCCGCACCGCGCCCTGCCGTGCGGTGCACCGACGCGGGGCTGTTCTCAGGGCGCTGCCGGCGCGCGGCTCCCCGGCCCGGGACGAGGAAAGCGCCGCGAAGGTGAGCGAGCGGCTCCCGCCCCCCCCCGGGCCGCCCGCAGACCCCGCCGGGACGGGAGGAAGCGCCGAAGTCCCGCCCGGAGCCGTCCGCGCCGCGGGACGCCCCGCAGGACGCCGAGCGGACCGAGCGCCGTCCGCCCGCAGCGCTCAGCCGGAGCTGCGCCCGCTGCCCCGAGCACCGCTGTGCGAAGTGAGCCGCCCGCCCCCCCGCGTCCCCCCGCCAGCCCCTCGCCCCGGCCCTAACCCCGCTCCCCGCAGGGATCACCTCCCCTTCGCGTGTCCCACCCCGCCGGTGCGGTGGGCGCTGCGGGACGGCGCGGTGCTGAGGAAGAAGCGGCTCTTCGGCTCCGAGCTGCTGCTGCTCGTCATCCCCCCGCTGCTGCTCAGCCACGCGCTGACCCTGGGGCTGGGGTGAGTGACTGAGGGGCTCCTGCGGGGCCGCCGTGCTCGGCATTCGTAGCGGGCTGCCCCCGCGCAGTCCGACGCCGCCTCTCTGCCCTCCAGGATCTACATCGGGAAGCGGCTGGCGGCCTCCTCGGCAAACCCGCTGTGAGCGCCGGGCCCAGCGAGGAGCGGCCTCCGTTCCGCTCTGCGCGGTCAGCCCGGTGCTCGGTGCGGCGCCGTCTCCCCCCGTCCCTTCCTCGCCCCACCGGAGCCCACCGCCGCTGGCGGCTCCCGCTCCCCCCCCCCCCCCCCCCCCCCCCCCCCGCGTCTCGCCGGGCTCCTCGTTATCGCGGTGGACTGTAGGTACGGCCCTGAACCCGCGGGGCCGCGTGGAAATAAAGAGCGGAACCGCGTGCGGTCAGCACCGGCGGTGGACCCGCAGTGCGGAGCTGTGCCTGCCGCCCGGCCCAGGGCGAGCGCTGAGCGTCCGACCGACCGACCGACACCACCGCACGGACGGCTGCTGCTGCGGGGCTCCTTTATTGGGCGGTGCGGCTGGGAAGCCGAAGAGATGCGGGAGCGAACACCGCACAACGCGCTGCGCTGCCCGCATGCGCTCACAGCCCGGACGAATCCCGTGCGGGGCTCGGGCCGGGAGCAGCTGCGGGATGGAGGCACTGGGGGGGGGGGGAGCAGGAGCGGGCAAAGGGCTCAGGGCAGGCGCGGACCGCTGTCACACTGCGCCGGCAGTGAGGGCGACGGTCCTGTCGGCCACGGGGGGCCGCAGCGCCGGGCGGGCGGGGGGCTGCGATCCGGAGCGCTGCAGTGCGGGGGGCAGCGGGCGGTGACGGCCGACGCTCGCGGAACGACGGTGCTCCGGAGCGCTCGGGAGTCCGCGGCTGTGGAAGAGCTGCGGGGAGGAAGGTTGGGGGGTTGTCCGGGAGCCGCTCGAGCTGCTGCCCGCCGTTCCCGTCCTGGGTTCAGAGCTGGGACAGCCGTTTAGACTTCGGGGGCGGAGGCGGAGGCGACTTCAGCCCTTTGCTCCCATCTGCGAGCGACGGCAGCGCCTGCAGATAGACGGACAGTTACAGACGGACGGCTCCGCGGGCGGAGGCAGCGGGGCCGGGCGGTACCTTTCGCCCGTTGGCAGCATCGCTCCCCTCCAGGAAGGTCTCGTACACCGCGGGGCTGATCCTGCGCGGCAGCGGTGGGGCTTTGCTGGCGCTCTTCACGCGGCCGCAGAACCCGGTGGGGGACAGCACTGCGCGGAGGGGTCGGGTCGGGTCGGGCAGCGCAACCCGCGCGGGGCTGGGAGGTGCGGGGGGTGCGGGGCTGGGGGTCTGCCGGTACCTGCGGGGCCCGGCTGAGAGCCCGCCGAGTCGCGGCTCTGGGGCGGCTGCTTCCCATCGGGGCTGCCCGGGCCGCTCTCACTCACGCTGCAGGAGCGTCTCCGCCTGTCGTCCTGGAGCAGAGAAAAGGCGTCAGCTCCCGGGGCGACTCAGCCGGGCTGCAGGTCCCAGAAGCGATGCGGGTCGCGATGCTCTCCAGCTCTGGGCTTTGTGACCCCCGAGCCCCAGCGCCGTTCTTCACCATCGGCCGGCGACGGCGAGCGGCCGTGCGGGTGGCATCACCGCATCACCTTTGGCTCCGGCAGCTCCGAGGCGGACTGGCGCGGCTCCGGCCGGCGGTAGGAGAAGAACGTGCTGGAGCGGTTCTCCCTGCGCTCGTCCTCGGTGCTCCGTGGGGTGGGCTTCGGGATCGGGGATGCCTCCATGCTGCAGAGCAACTGCGACTGGTGAGGGGTGGGGAGCTGAGCTGTGCCAGGCAGAGCCCACGGCAAAGCTCAGCGGGGACCCCCCGGAACAGGTGTGAGTGGTTCAGGTGACCGCAGTGCCGGCTGCACTGGGTGTCTCTGCTCCGTGTCCTCCCACTGGACGGGGCCGCCGTGACGGACGGCAGAATGGATGCAGAAGTGGGGCTTGGTGCAAAACGCCAGAGTGGGAAACAGAGGGCATCGGAATGGGGCGGGTGGGAGGGGACTGCACAGGGCGCAGGGGAACGAGTGGCTCCTGGGGGTGGGGATGAGGTGGTGCCTCCCCTGCTGCACTCGCCTGTCTCTGGAGTGGCTCAGCCGCTCCCAGTCTGGTGCCCAGGTCACAGACCGGGGTCGTCCGCTCCGCCGGTCCTCGAAGGAGATCTGGGAGCACAGGGGGAGAAGCAGCCAGGAAAGGTGAAGGCATCGAGTGCCCCTCTGCTCCCTTCTGCTCAGTCAGCAGTGCCTCCCTGCCTGTCCTGGCCATGTGCCACCACCCCACAGCAGGGTCAAGCAGGGTCAAGCTGAGCTCCCCCACGCACACTGCCCTGCCCCGCTCCCCACCCAGCACTCACCATCTCACGCACCCCATACTGGCTCTCCACCTTGGCCCGCAGCTGCACGAAGCACTGCTCCATGCGCTCATGGAAGGGCCGCAGATCCTCCGTCACCTTCTGTCCGTGGATCCGGATTCCCTCTGACAGCAGTGGGATCTGCAGGAGGGGGGGATGGAGCTGCCCGGGCTCCCCTTGGGCTGCAGGGGTGAGGGGCTCCCCACGGGGCTGTGCGCAGTACCTGCCAGGCAATCAGGTCCTTCAGCCTCTCAATGTTGCCCCGGTCCTCGGGGTGCTCCTCCAGGTACAGCTCCTGGAAGAAAGCCTGCAGCGAGCTGCTCAGCACCTGATGGCTGACCCCTGTGGGTCGGGCAGGGAAAGGAGCTGTGCCCCTCAATCTGCTCCCCGTGCTCAGTCCCAGCCCTGGGGCAGCGCTTCCTCACCGTCTCGTACTTGGCGAAGCCGCCCATGACGGCGGGGTCCACGATGCCGTTGAGCAGCATGGAGAGCGGGTTGATGGGCAGGCCGGGGTCGTTCTGGTGCCGGTTGATCTCACTCAGAATCTTCTCATTTGTTTTCATCATGGTCTCTATGGCGTTCTCCAGGGGGGAGATGGTGGTCTGTGCCAGGGGAAGGAGGTCAGCGGCTGCTCGGCAAAGAACACTGCCCCTTCTGCTTGGGGCCAGTGGGTGATTTCTCCCCATCCCCGGTGCCCAGGACCCCTACGGAGCCCCTCGAACCCATGAGTCGTGTGCTTGGAGCTGAGTTGGGGCCCAAGGGGATGTATCGATCTGCTCCCTGACTCTGGGCTGCCTGCAAGGTCAATGCCTTGCACGAGGGACCACAGCCTCACGCAGCTGTGTGACAGCAGCAGTGCAGAGCTTGTGGGAAGCCAAATAAATGTCATTGCACTGCAGGAGCAGCCGTGCAGCAGCAGCACGCGTGGTCCAGGCACAGGCACGTGTGGCAGAGCTGCTGTACAGTGCTCTGCAGCACAACTGTCACCAGAGCAGTGATGACCCATCTCCTGCACTGCTGCAGCACCCAGATCCTCAGCAATGCCCAACCCCCCCCCTCTGACTGCGCTGTGGGACCCCCCCACGGAGCTGCTGGGTGGGCAGGGGCAGCGCAGAGCCGGGTACCAGCAGAGCCCCCACCCCACCCACCCACTCCTCACCGTGGTGGTGGAGGTCACTGCAAACCAGCGCAGGATGCCGGGCAGTGGGTAGGCTGTCACGAAGGTGGTCCTCTCGATCCACATGTTCTGCAGGCAGGACACAATCAGTCCCACAGCTCCCATCACCGCAGCGTCCCACTTCCCCTGCCTGTGGGCATGGCAGTGCTGCCTTTCCCCCCCCAGCGCCCAGACGAGTCTCTCTGCATTGCCCTCCTCTGGACACCCGGTGCTCCACAGGACCCTGCAGCTCTGCCCACCGCGGGGTCCCAATCAGCACTCACTGCAAATTCATTGTCTGGATCCTTCGGGCCTTTCTTGAAGGGCCGTGAGTAGCTGAACTTCTGGACGTGATTGGCTTTGTAGAAACTGCAGGAGAGAAGGGGCAGAGGATGGGCTGCATGCAGAGGAGACGCAGCCCCACACCGAGCAGCGCCCAGCGCCGCAGGCACGCACTTGGTGATCTGCTCCGGGATGCTGCGGTCCCTGAGCCGGATCCTGGACTCCTCCACCGGCTGCACAGTGAAGCACTGTATGTCTGCGGGAGTGAAGGAGCCTCGGGCGCACACCGCGGGGCTGTCGGGAGAGCGGGGCCCCGGGGCCTTGGCTGTGCGGGACCCACGGGCTCAGGGAACCCCCCCGGCCCTGCCCGTCCCCACTCCGCAAGGATACACTGCCCCGGGGACTCCGTGATGTCGGGGCCGGGCGGGGACGTAGTCTGCAGCTTCTCGGCGTTGGGGAAGGGGCTGAGCAGCCGCATCTCGAAGTCCTCCCGGCGCTCGTACTCTTTGCCGCGGTAGATGAAGACTTTGTTCTGCGGAAGGAAGGGGCGGCGCTGCGAGCCCTGCGCCGAGCTCTGCGTGCCGCGGGGGTCGTGGCAGATTGAGGTGCCAACCGAGGGGGAACCCCTTCTTGGAAAGGCCTTCCCCGAGCCCAACAACAGAAAGGTAGATGGATTAACGGGCAGCGAGCTGTGGGGCGCTGAAGAGAAGTTCCAGGAGATTCCCAAATGCATTCATAGCCCAGTCAGCACAAGCACATCCCTGCAGCTCGTACAGGGCGTCCATCCGGCTCTGCACCCCAAGCGGGACGTGGTGCAGCCACGGAGCAGTGCAGCTGCAGCCGTGCACTGCAGGTAGAGCACAGCCCAGTGCTCAGGGCCAGGAGGCCTGCAGACACCACATCCCTGTGTGCAGGAACAACACCTGGGCTCCTCTCCATCATTTTTTATAGCGAATCACCAGTTTCCAGGTTTTCCTTCCATAAGTGCTGCACCCAAAGGCACGCTGGGCTGCTCCCTACCAGCTCCCCATCGCCCCATCCCTCAGGGCTGCCCCATCCTGCATGCTGTCCAGCCTCCACCAGTTCTCCCCACCGGGGCCGGAGCACTCAGACCACAGGGACCAGGCAAGGAGGAAGGACAGCCCTGGGGCTCCTCTCACAGGAGATGCCCTGAGATGGTCACAGCTGCCGGGCAGAGCTGCACAGGGTGCAGCACAGCAGCACAGGAGCAGCGTGGGCTGCAGGCAGCAGCAGGAGCCTCTCACCCGCAGGAAGGTGGGGAAGCCTTGCCCATAGTAGCCGACAGCAAAGTAGTCTGGGCTGGGACGCAGCACCTTCAGGATCTTCTCATAGAATTTGGCTTCTCTCTGCTGCAGGGGGAGGTTGCACACTGGAAAGGGCAGGAGCCACGCAGCCCCCGCTCTGCCCCATGGCTCACACTGCACTGTGCAGTGCCTTCAGCCCCCACTCTGCCCCACTACGCAGCCCAGACCGGCTGGCACTCACCAGGATCTCGCTCAGCATCTCATAGTCAAAGATCTCACTCTCGTACTGCTCTGCCAGCTCCTTGCAGATATGGATGGCCTCCTCCCACATCTGCACAGTGCAGGGTGAGCAGGGCAGGAAGGGGCCTGGGCACCTCCAAGGGGGCCCTGCCCCTCCTGCAGGGCTCCTGCAGCCTCACTCCTGTGCGAGCAGCAGGACGGGCCCCTGGAGGGCTGCAGCAGGGTTCATTGCCTGCTGTCTGCAACCACGCAGCCCCTGCCAGGCCTCCACAGCCCAGCCCTCTCTGGGGTGTCCAAGCTCCCCGCATCTCCCCAGAAGTAGGGGCAGAACAGGCAACTGGGAGTTGTAGTGGCTGCAGGGATGAACTGCTCAGCACAGGATCACAGCACCCTGCCCGGCACGGAGCAACTCTGCCCCCATCATGGCAACGGGGATGGTGAGCGGTGCCAAGGTGGGGGCTCGGAGCGGAAGGCAGAGGTGGGGGAGCTGGGTCCTACGGTCTGTGCTGCACGGGGCTGAGCTCACCTTGCCTTGATCAAAGTAGTTGATGATCTGGTTGTACAGAGCCTCCTTCAGCTGGCGCTGGGTGTGCAGGCTGGGGCTGTGCAGGCCCTGCATGGGTGCTGTGTTTGCCTCGTCGGACCACTGTGTGGGGCAGTGGGAATGCCATGCATGCTCAGTCATACTGAGCCACGGGGGGGGCTGTGCCCCCCCCCCCCCCCCCCCCCCCGCCGTGCCTCACCTTGAGGAGCCGTGCGTGCAGCAGCAGCGTGTAGGCACCCTCTGTGTAGTTCTCATAGCTGATGTGCAGGTCCTTCAGCTTGTACAGGTACCTGGGGGGCAGGGCAGGGTTTGCTGGATGTGGTGCTGGGGGGGCTCTGGCACCGTGCCCCCTGCCCGCTCCCCCATCCCCGCCCCACGCAGGGTCACAGCAGGTGGGGTGGGAGCAGCTCAGGGCTGGGGACCCTCCTGAATGATGCTGGCACCTTCCCATGCTGGGCCGGGACCACAGCACGGTCTGGGTGTGCTGACGGCGCGGGGGCCTCGATGAGGCAGTGCTCACCTGATGTACATGGCCTGGCGGTCGATCTCCTTGTAGAAGTTCTGGGGAGGAGCAAGCATTGAGGCAGCCCCGGGAAAGGGCTTCTCCTGCAGCCCCCACCATCCCCCAGCCTGAGTCCTGCTGCCACCACGGCACACGGGCACGGGGCTGCTGGGCAGCTGCGTGGGGATGCTGCAGGCCCGCAGATGGGGGATGTGGTGCAGGCACTCACCAGGAGGTTGACGGTGCAGCTCATGCTGTAAGTTTTGTTCTCATCGTTCATCACCGCCCGGTAGTCGAGGAGCCGCTCCAGCAGCCCCGTCACCAACGCCACGAAGCTCTCCCCAGGCTGGGACAGCTCGGGGTGCGCGCGGCAGCAGCTGAGCAGACTGTGGAGCAGAGGGAGCGCGGCTGCACGCCGGGCTCCACGCCGACCCCACTCAGCTGCCCTGAGGTGTGGGACCCCGATCGCCCCAGGCAAGGACAAAAAGCAGCACCAGGCCAGCAGTGAGAGCCGTCCCTGTGCTGCTCTCCAGCAGGCGTGAGGCACAGACCAGGCAGTGATGGGCAGCGCGGCGCTCCCTGAGCACAGCCCCCTCCTGTCAGACCCCCCTCTGGAGCTGCGCTCTGGGCCAAAGCACAGCAGGGAGGAGGAGGATGGCCGAGATTCGGCTCTGCGGGGGCAGGGCACAAAGCAGGGGTGATGCCCAGAGGAAGGGAACGGTGTTGCGCTGCAGGCTCACATGCTTTCAAAAAGCTGCTTGTACTGCTCGTCGCCCCGGCCGCCCTCCACCTCGCTGTCTAGCTTGCGCAGGATCTCATCCTCAAACTGCAAAGAGATGCACGTGAGCACAGCTGAGGATGTGCGGAGCTCGGCCCCAAGGCTGCACGGCCACAGATCCATGGGACACTGGGCAACAGGCGCTGCAGGAAGGCTGATGGCAGCCCCAGCAGCAGCCTGGGCTCTGCTCCTGCAGACCTTCCTCCCACGTCACCTGGACACTCCCATTCCCCTGCTCGGACACAGCCCCCATTGCCCCCCAGCTCCCCGTTCTGCTTCTGCTGCATTGCCATCTCCCAGCAGCCCAGATGACTGATGCGGCTTCTGCAGGAAGGGCTGCGTCCTGCAGCCCAGGCAGCCCAGGAATCACTGAGCTGTGCTCTGTGCCTCTTAAAGCCACCCTTGCCTGCCCAGGACCCTCCCACTTCCCAGCTGATGCTCAGCCTTGAGATCCACAGGGTTTGTGCTCTAGGTGTACCAGATGGGCCACAAAGCCTGGCAGGTCCTGCAATGTGTGCAGCACAGGATATGGGGGCTCTGGGCCACGTCTGATGCCCCTCAGTTCCGCACTGAGTCCCCTGGGTCTGCGCATCCCCCGAGTGATGCACAGCATCTCCCCAGGCCTGGGCTGCATAGAATGGTGTGGAGATGCCACCCACAAAGCTCTTGGGTCCTCTGAACTGCAGTGTCCAGTGTGGACAAGGGGCAAAGATCCAGCAGCAGCTGGGCTCTGTGAGATCCCAGCCCTTCTCCCAGGGACACCGCATGGGGTGGAAAAGTCTTTTGCACAAGGAAAGCTCACAGCAGCTTGGCAAGAGTGGCAATGCAGGAAGCTTGTACAGACCTCTCCCCTACTGCTGTGCTGTTGTGTTCAGCCAGTGCTGGGACCTGCTGAGTGTGTGCAGCCTGCTGGCCCCTGGGAAATGCTTGGCATTGCTCCGAGACTCCCTCCTACTCCAGGGCCCCAGCAGATCACCATCCCTCATCACTGTCCCTCATCTCCGTCCCTCACCCCTCTCCCTTGTTCCCATCCCTCCCTGCTGCATCCCCACACCCCAGGAGTGCAGGGGGAGTGGGGGGGGGAGGAGAGCAAGCAGTGCCTCCCCCCACACGATAGGGGTGGTCACCCCATGACAGGCAAAACCCTCACCTCCACCGCCCTCCCAGCCCAGTGCTGCTGCTCACCCGGCTGAAGCTGGCGGTCAGCTGGTACTCGCAGAGCATCATGTCAAAGAAGATGGGGATGGTGGACTTGCGCAGCTCCAGCTCCGGCACAAGGGTCATCTCCAGGATGGGGCCCACCATGCCTGGGATGAACTCGATCTTGTGGTGGCCTGCGGACGACAGGGAAGGCTGGGGCACACAGGAACAGCCAGCAATGCATGCAAGAGGCTGAGGAGTGGTGGCAGCAGAGCTCTGCAAGCCCTATGCAGCTTCAGCAGGGCTTCCCCAGTCCATGCCCAGCGCTGCATGCTGGGCACAGGGGAGCCTGCAGCTGGAAGAGCAAGCTCAGCACCATGGGCTGGCACATCCAGCAGCATCTCACAGGGTGCACACCCACAGGGTGCACACTCACATGGTGCACACTCACATGGTGCACACTCACAGGATGCACACTCACATGGTGCACACTCACATGGTG